GCCTCAAGATAATGGACCCATCTCAAAGCCAGGTGATCATTTTCCCTATTCCCCTCTGCCATGTAGTCTGATCTAGTCACAGGATCTGGGGACTCAGGTCAGGGACCTCTCTGGGGCCGTAGTCTACATCCACGGGTGGGCCAGGTGTGGTGCCGCCAGGGCCAGGCCTGGGCCTGCACAGAGGGGCTGTAGAATCCAGGGCTCTGTCTAAGAAGGCACTCCTCAATCCTGAATAGCACCCCACCTGGACACAAAATCTTGGGTGGGGAGCAGGGGCAAATCACTACTTGAAAGGATTTACATCACCATAAATTAATTTTAGTTTATCTGCATTTGCTAATTTGTATGTCTTAATACTCATTTATGTGTGGGGAATTGGTACATTTAAAATCAGGACACTGAGGGCCTCCCTGGTAGCACAAGGGGTTAAGATGCAATCTATGAAGCTCTCCGCAGCCACTGCAGCATGAGTTCGATCCCCACCCAAGGAGGTGACCCACATGGCGCAGCAGACATTTCCTGACTCACCCGCTGCTCCCCTCAGCAGTGTATTTCGTCATTCTGCCTGTTCTGTTCCCCACTCTGTCTCTGGTGAATCCTCTCACCCCGCACACCTCTGGCCTGTACCCCAGTTCTTGTATGAATAAATAAATAAATCTTTTAAAAAAATAAAATAAAATCAGGACACTGAGCAGTTAGGAGGTGGCCTCCATGTTCAGGAGCTACATCTCCCTGAGACTCGGCCCCATCAGCCTGTAGAAAGATGCTAAGCCCACACCCGAAAGACCACTCTGCTGGCACAGCATCCTGAGAGCCGCTCCCAGGCTTAGGGAATTCATACTTAGACCCAGAAATTTCACTAACAAGAGTTCCTCCTAAGGAAATAATTCTATATATAGAAAAAAACATGCTCCAGTGCAAGGATACTCCGAGCGGTTTTCCTTAGAAGAGAGACTAATTAGAAACACCTAATTGTCCAAGAGCGGGGCTGAGCCTGCGTGTGACAGCAAAGCGTATCTTTTAATGATGCGCCTGGGAGAAGACACACAGGAAGCTTTTATCATGGGGAGCGGAAAATGGGACCTAAATCCGATGATCACAGCCGTGGACATTTTTTAAAAGCAGGGAACAAAGACTTGAAGGACATTAACTACCATGCTTCTCTCTAGCTGGGGAGAATGTGGGCGATTTCTTTCCCCTTTGTTCTACCTCTCAGAGTTTCTGAGATGCACATGTTAGAAAAGCTCACCTTGAATCGAGATGGCCGTGCTAACGAATCAGCATGTCCCCGTGTGTGTGTGCATGTGTGTGCCTGCGATGGGAATTCAAGTGTCTGAATTCTGTGTTTGAATGTGTCTGAGTGTGAGTAGGCGTGAATATGAAGGAACACGGGTGTGTGTGTGCTCTGGATGTCAATGTATCTGCAGCTGCACCAATGCGCGTGAACATGTGTGTCCTAGGTGTGCAAGTGAGGGTGTCTGTCACTGTGGGGGCGAGCAGTGTGTGGCCATGCCTGTGTGTGCGTGGCGTGAGAGCTCGTGTGGAAGTGAGATGGGTGGAAGTGAGATGGGCGGGCGTTTGAGGGAATGTGTAAATGTCCATGTGAGTGTGGGTTGGGATCTACGCCTGGGTGTGTGGAGGAAAATGCCTGTGAATCTGTGACTCCAGATACGTGTTAGTGAGAATGTGACAGGGGGTGAGATTGTGACGAGTGTGTGGATGTTGCGTGTGTACAAGTGATCCCAAAGGCTCATGAGCACCCTGATGGCCTGTGTCTTGGAAGGACGGCAGTATCTGGGCTAAGTGCTCTGGGGTGGTTCGTGGACCCTCCCAGCCTCCCCCCACCCCAGGAAAGTCCAGTCCTGGCGCCTCGCCCACATGAGCTGTGGCCTCACACACCCGTCCATCCACCCTGCCCCCAGGAGGGAGGGGTGCCCAGCGCAGGCCCAGGGCAGCTGCTGCCTGCTCCGGTTCCCTCAACATCTGAAATCCGCTTCTGCTAGGAATGGACTTGAGCTGCACACAAAACCCAGAAGCCCTGTGACAAGCATGATTCCATGGGTCAGGCTGCGTCATGAGATGCTGAACAAGAGACATCAGGCCAGCTGTGAAGGAGAAGCCTGGTGTGAGAGGAGGGAAGACCACAGGCCCTTCCACAGTGGCCTCCTCCTCCCTCCGGCACTGTCCCCTTTCGGGTGACCCAGCATGGGCCGGGCCTCCAGTTCCAGGAGAGGTTGGCCCAGCCTTCTGCTCCCTCTGTTACCCTGCCTAGCAGCTGGGAGCCTCTGCCTGGTAACTCCAGGCCAGGATGAACAAGTTCCAGTGTCCCAGCTTGGCAGAGGAGGCCTGTGTTCTCCCCATTCCTTCCTGGCTTGGTCATGGGGAGCTTCACAAGGCTCCTGCTCCTCATCTCAGCCAACTCCCACTAGCCTTCCTGAGCTACCTCTATAGGTGGGGAAGCAGGGGCCAAATTCACATCTAGCAATTTCTTCGTGTGGCTCCAGTCACAGATCTGACAGGAAAAGTCCAGAGGGGAGGTGCTTTCCATGAACCCAGCTATCTCTAGCTAGGAGACACACTGGCTCACCCACTAACCAACTAACTAACTAACTAGCCAACTAATCAAGTAGCCAACCAACTAATCGGTGTGTGCCCAGGGCAGGTGAGAAAATCTTGCGGCCTGGGTCCTGGGCAGCCAGGGGTCCCAGTGGCTCCCAGGGCAGCCCCTGATCTCAAAGGTCAGGTTCTGCACCAAGGACACTTCCCTCCACTCACAAAGTCATCGCTGGCAGTAAGGAAACCTGCACAAAGCTCCTGGTAGTGTCAGAGCCTTCATCCTGGCGGTCTCTGTCCCCTCTAGCCTCACCTCCCGAGGTTTCAAACACAAACTGGGCTCTTGGCTTTTTCTTTTTTGCTACAAAGAACAGCTGTATGAGGTTGTTTTGATTTTTTCCCCAAGGCTCAGCATATTGACAAAGTCCAGGAGGCTGCACACACTCAGTAAACTCCCAGCGCGGGCCCTTAGCCTTTCCAGCCGTGGAAAAATCTTCACGTGTTTTGCCACCTCCCCTGGCACAGTTCCCCAGAAGATGGAGACATCCACTCAGGGACAAGTGGGAAACACAAGGCCTCCCAGGCTGGGTGGCGCAGGCTGATCCCTGGGTGAGGCCACGCAGGGTGAGGGCAGCAGGCCAGGCCTTACTCAGGGGCTGACGTGCTGCGAGACCATGGCATGACGCCTGGTGCGGGGAGCAGGGGGCCAAGCCAAGTCCCCTCCTGTTGAACGTGGCAGGTCTCTGTGTTGGCCTCAATCAGCAGTGCATGGAGGTGACACTGTGGGATAGCCAGGGCTAGGGCACCTTTCCTGGTCTTCTTGGGCCTGACCAGCCTGCTTCCAGGAATCCCAAGCAACTCACAAGAGACCATAGTGCTGCACCTTCCCCTGCACGCTTCTCTCAACCCTGAGGTGGCCTCATTGTCTACTGCTGTGCTGGTCCGTGGCACATAGGAAAGGCCAAGTGAAGGTGTTCCAGCCACAGGCCCAAATGAGGCCCCAGTGGACAACCACTGTCAACCACCAGACACATGAGTGAAGATGCTTCCAGAACACGACACACCCCAAAGATCCAATCAGCCCCAGCAGAGGCTCGAGGCACCACAGAATAGAGTCAGCCGTCTCACTGTCCTGTCCAAATACCTGCCCACGGAAGCCATGAGCACCGCAGCGCAGCCCCTTCTCATTAGGAAGTTGGGGTAGTTTGTGCAGGGATCGGTGGCTCACGGTGGTTTTCTCAGCCTCTGCACCTCCTCCCCCCCTGGTCACTTATCAATCTAATCATCAAGTCACAGATGTTTCTGGAATTCCTATCTCCCCTGCCCCATCCCTTCATGGCATCCAGTTTCGGCTGGGAGGGCCACTGCTGACCCCTGAGCCCTGTCCCCTAAGTTTTCTCCCTGGCTCCCAGCCAGATGTGACCCATCATGGGAAGCCTTGTAGGTGCACAGTGAGCTTGGGCTACCAGCTCAGGCACACTTGGGAGGAGTGGCACCTGGCCCGCCTCGGCCCAGCTGACTCTTGTTCTGGAGACCAAACCAGGAGTCAGGAGGTGTCACCCAGCCCTTCCTGGTCTACCTGACAGGCCCACCCTCTGCCCAAGGCCCCTCCCAAATCTTGCCCCGCTTCTCCTGGATGCTAGCCAACTTCCCTGGCCTCGCACCCCAGTCTCCATCTTCCACCCCCTCCATTCTGTGGCCAGATCCTCTTCCTAGAGCCCAGATCTGGTGAAGTTTCCACCTAAAGTAGATGCTGCAAGTAGGCGCATCACCAAAGTACAGACACTGCCATATTCCACATACATGAGGAACTAAAGTCAACTCTTAGAGATGGATTAAGATAGTAAATGTTAAGGTCTTTATATGTACCACCGAAAAATAAAAAAATTAGGCCTACCGTGGTGGCACAGCGGTTGAGCGCTGGCTGCGAAGCTGCCCGCAGCCTCTGCAGCGCCGGTTCAACCCCCGGCTGCCGGCGAGGGTCCCACATGGCGCGCAGACCTCTCCTGCCGCCCGCTGCTCCCCTCAGCAGTGTACTTCGGTCCTTCTGCCTGCTCTGCTTCCTGCTCTGCTCTGGTGAAATCTCTCACCCTCCCGTGCTTCTGACTGTACCCCGGTTCTTGTATAAATAAATCTTTGAAAAAAAAATTAAAAAAATTCTTTTTACCACTCTCTCTGTATGTATGTATGTATTTTAAAACTTCACCCAGTGCCCACAGACTCCTTCTGCCTTCAATGCCCAAGCTGCTTACCCAGCCATACAGAGCCTGTGTGTGGAGTGGAGAATGGTGACCCTCTGCCCTGCCCTCCCGCCCCATCCTGGCCGCTCCCACTCCTGACAGTTTCTGCTTTCCCAGCCAGCAAAGGCATCTGAGTCCTTTGGGTCTCAGGTCTCCACCCAGGTGCCCCAACATGTCTTCCACATCTGAAGGGCAGTCGGTGGCCAGAGCCCCAGGACTGGGAGAGGGTCACAAGGGAAAGGCTGGGGAGCACTGGCAGGACCACACGGCCAACTGGTCTTCTAAGTCAAGTCCACTTTATTTGAAATTTTTCACATGCCACAACTTTACATTGGAACACCCAAGATGTAGTTTGAGCACAAAATTCAGGAGCAGGCGTCATTGTGAGACACCACACGAGGGCAGTTCACCAGACAAATGAGGTGTTGTCAAAAGGCAAGTGACACATATTGGGTTATTTAGCACCTGGTCACAACATACTGTGAGCCCCCCTGGCTGGCTCACCCCAGCCCCCTTAAAAACATGCTGAGCTCAATTCTTTCCAGTCAAGCCACATGTGGACGGGCTACGGACAGAGGGGCATACGGAGCAAGTGTGGGGTATCCAGAGCCCCACGTACACACACACACCACTGTGCACCACATGCCGCTGCACACACTCCCCTGGAGCGGTGGCGGCCCCGCAGTGTCAGGGTGCACGAGGAGATCCCATGTGGGGTTTAGCTCAACAGCAGCTTCTGCTTCAGTTTCACTTTCAGCCAGAACCCAGCTAATGAGCAGCACTGGGTTCCCAGATCCCCCAGGCAGAGTGGGGTGCAGCAGGGGCCCTGTGACATTAACACTGATATTCAGTGTTTCCTGAAAGAGCTTTAGAAGAGCATAATTTAGAGGACACTGGCCAGCCTGCGTCACACTCAGATTCTCTATTTCCAGGGGTTTTTATTCACCATGCCCAGTGGACCTTAGAAACTTCTCGTGGGCCCTGTGCCCAACCAGAGGGACTGCTGACCATCACTAGGAGAGTGAGCCCCTCCTGCAGTCCACCCCTTTCCTGTGAAAGGAGGGGGGCCCACAGGTGTTGGCATCTCCATCCACGTCTCTGTGTACATCCATAGGACCAGGTACATGTTTCCCTCACCTCATGTACGACTGAAATCACTGGGCCCCACTCCCAACAGTCACCGCTCACCATCCTAATCCACTACTTTCTCATTTTCTCTTACAAAGTCTCAGCAATTTTCAAACTCTAAAGGAACAAATATAGACAAGAGGGGCAGGGGTTTTCTCCCACAGCCCTCTGGCCACTCAGTGGAGGATGGGCCCATCAGGGCCTTTCTGCAAGGCCAGAACAGGCCCTGGACTTGGGAGGGTTGCTGGTTTCAGACACTTGTGGTCAGCAGAGACCCACCTTCCTGGACTCCTACGGCACTGCTCCACTGACCTCTTACCCTGCCCAGACGATGCTTCTGTCCCCTCAGTTGAATGACCTATGCCTCTGGGTCTTGGCAGAGGGGCCAGTTAAGGGCCTGTGGTCTTAAAAACCCAGCCCCACACAGCTGCCCAGGGGAGGGGCACCAATCTCAGGGCCCAGCCTGGGTCTGAGGCGAGGAGAGCCCCACACCACGTGCACAGTGCACACAGACTCAGAGGCCTCCCAGAGATGGAACCCCTGGACAGATGACAGGCAGGGAAAGACCCTTGTTGTAAGAAACAGATGTCCCTAATCCAGCCTCCTTGGACTTGGGGAAAAATACATGTATGTGCAAATGAGAAAGCCACTCAGAAGAGGGAAGGGAGCCTGTGGGTCCAGGCAGGGTTCCTGCTCCCCTTGGGCCTCTGGAGCGCCCCTTCACACTGGCATCAGTGTTGCTGGTGATGGGTCAGCAAAGCCCAGAGTGCAGGGCCACGGGAGGCAGACGCACAGCAGGTGGGGGAGATGGCCTTGGGTGCTAAGGGTGAGGTGGGGCAGAGGCAGGAGAGGCAGCCTTGGGAGATCAGTGGGTGCTCTTTTTAACAAAGGGATAAATGCCCTGTTCCCCTCCTTTCTCCTTCCCATATCCCCTGCTGTCCCTCACACACAGCATGCACAGACGCACTCACAGGCAGAGATGTACACACATGCACTCACATGTGCACAGACCAAAAACACACACACACACACACAGACACACACACGCAAGTGCTGACCAGGCCCCTCTCAGCAGGCAGCATATGGTCGGTCGCTTAACAACCCAGTTCTGCCAATTGGGGACCATTAGGGTGGGTTCTTTTCCCAGCGTAAAATGCTGCAGAATATAAATTGCAATTAACACTGGTGCCAAAATAGCACTTAGCGAGAATAACCACATTATTAACATCTGGTGAATCCTGTCTTGGGTGTAGAAGCAGCGGCAATTCTTGCTCTAAGTAAAAGGATGGTTGCAGGGGACACTAAAAATACAAGTCTACTGTTTAGGGGTTGCCTATCAAGGCAGTGTGCACCCCCAGCCTCTCACAAATGGCCCTCCCCAGCTCTGTTTATTGGTATAAATTATGCTGCTGGTTAAAACTGCTTGCTCATGAAAACAAGCCCTCCTGGCCAGAGCGTGCAACAATTCTGCCTTTGGATAAACTCCTAGAGGAAAGCACACTCTCTGCCTGAGCCAACGTTGATCTGGATGAAAGGCCACCAGAGCCACCCAGGTGCTGGGGTGGGTGGGCCTGATACACAGGGGTCCCGGAGTTGGCAAGGCTACCTGCCTCCCTCCAGGCCACAGTCTGTGCTACTCAGGCAGCGACTGCTCACCCCCTGGCTTGGACAAGAAGTGGTCAGTCCCCACACCACCCTTCCTGGTCACCCTGGCCTGGTGGTCTCTAATGCCATCTGACAGAAATACCCAGAAATCAGCGAGGAGGGTGCTCCCACCGACCCTCATCCACAGTCATGGGTCTAATAGGGACCTTGGTCCTGCCTTTCTGGGGGCCAGGGCAGCCTGCCAGGCCGTGAGGAATTGAGGCCCAGGTGTAGCCCTCATGCCAGGTTGGGACCTAAAGGGTGAAGGCTCTAGGTGGCACCTGCTGTGGGGCATTCACCTGAAGGCAGGCGCAGACTATGCCTCTACTAGATGGCAAAGAATGGCCAGTTGCAGGCTGCGGTGGAGAGAGGACACTCGTAGTAAGAAAAACAAGGTGAGAGGAAGGGGACAAACCCCAGCCCCACCTGCACAAACACACCCTCCACTCAGTCAGGAACTGAGCATAGTGCCTGAGCCTCAGGACAGGCCCAAGTCACGAGACCAAGGTGTGCTGACAGAACTAGCCAGAGCATTCAAAAACTGCGATTTTGCCAGGCCCCAAATCCAAAGGCACCGGTTCCCACCAGCGCGGTTGGAAGGTTGCTAGGTTCCTGGAGTACCCTGCCCGTGGTGGGTGGGAGAAGAGCAGGAGGCTATGAACTGTTTGCCCCGAGAAATCGGGAAGGGCAGGCAAACAAATGCTGGGGATCACAGCCGGGAACAGAAGGGCCAGCCATGGGGAATGGGGGCAATTATCCATGGAAACAAGTAGGAAGAGGGCCGAGCTATTGGGACCACTGGGAGAAAAGCCAAGATGGGCTCCAGCCGTGCCTATAGGGCCCTCAGCCTAGCAGGGAGGCCAGGGCAAGAGAGGTCCAGCCTGCCAGGGTCCTGGGGAGGCAGCCTTTGTAGAGACTGAGGCACGTGTTGGGTGGAAGCTGAGGCCACAGCCTGCATGTCTCCAGAGCAGGAGGCAGAGGGGACCCCTTAGAGGCCCACCAGCCAAGGGGGTGATGGCCCTGGGGAACCCTGTGGGTGAAAAGGCAGAGGCATTGGGCTTGGCACAGGGTTAGCCCTGGACCACATTTTTGGAGTAGCTAAGTTGAAGTTTTTTAAAGTGCAACATAAAGCTATCTGAAATGGGATAGTCCGATCACTTACTCCAGCTTTCAACATCCTTTCTGGGTTTTAATATTCCAAGTTATTCTAATAAAGGGTGTGTGTGTGTGTGTGTGTGTGTGTGTGCGTGTATGTGCGTGTGTGTGTGTGTGTCTGTCTCCTCCCAGAAACAGAGATCTTACAGATGACTGAAGTTGCTAAAGCTAAATATATGACTAGCATGTGGCAGGCTCAAACCTGGACCCCACGCAGCAATCCAGGCCCTAGGGGTCCCCGCCAGGCCACTGCTCCTGAACTTGTCTGATGTTATCTGGCTAGAAACTAGACACAATTGGGCTAAAATGTGTCTCAGAAGGAAGGAGAGCCCTGTATCTGCAACCATAGAATTTGCTCCTCACGTGTCACACCCACAGCTGGCCTGAGGCAGGGGCTGGGGGACATATGGTCACTGGCCTTGCAGCCATAGATGTCAGCGTGGACAAGTATGTCTGCCCACATGCATGGTCACCCCAGCACCAGGCCTCAGTGCACCCCTCCACAAAGCCAGATGGCAGGTGACCAGGAAGGCAGGAGCAAAGGGACACAGGAGCTAAAGCGAGGGCAGCAGCACAGCAGCACGTAGCACTGAAGACCTGGTTGGGCCCCGAGGAGTCAGCACTCTGGCATCCGTGTCTCTGTTCAGGAACACCCGCCGCCAGGCCTGCAGGTCGCCCCAACAAGGGCTCTTCCTGCCGTGTCCTCCTCTTGTCATCTCAGTCCAAATTTCACCGAGTGAGAAGTCCTCCCGAGAGACCGCGAGAGGAAGCGCTGGAAGTCCTGGGTGGGGGAAGAGGGCAGGAAGAGTGGCTTCCTTCCTCTGCAACACATCAAGGGGTCCAGTGTCTGGCAGGCTCCTGGGGTCTGCTGCCAGGTGAAGAGCAGAAGTGGGGGCTGCAGCAGCAGTTGGAGGTCACATGCCCATCTCAACAGTCCTGCCTCCTTGGCTGCTGAGGATGCAGGCAAGGAGGCTCCGCCGACAGAAGCAGTTTTGCTGGTGCTGTCACCACCACAGGTTTGGTGGCTCCTCAGCCACTCTGCTTTTAAACAAGGTGATCTCATCCAGATGCATCATGGGGACGTCCCGGATGACGTCAGTCAGGCCCTCATGGAGCAGAGGGAAGATGATGACGTTCAGTGCGGGCCGCTCGGCCTGGAAACTGAACCAGAGACAAGCCGTTAGCAGGCCTGTTAGAGGCCAGACGAGAGGCTGCCTGCAAGAGAAAGGATGGACAGAGGAGTCTGCCTCTGGTGGTTCTTCTGTCCAGGCACAGAGGCTCCCACTTTGTGCCAGGTTGGGGAGGCCAACCTGCCTGCATAGGTCCCGCCAGAACAGGCCGTTATATTCCCTGCCCCAGAGGCAGCCTTGCTGAGAAAGCTGCAGAACTGAGTCCTCTGGTGACCAAAGCCCCCACAGTCAGGACCCAGCAAGGGGTAAAGAAAAGGCCAGGTCCACAGCTGATCAGAGATAAGCTCCTATTTGCACGGTCCACCACATGTGGTGGTGAACACAGACCCAAGTTCCAGCCCAGGAGCTCAAGGCAGAGATGGGACACATTGGCCCCCAGAGGGTGAGATAGAAGAGCAGCCCTGACTAGGGAAAAATTTCCATCCCCTGGGGAAGGTACCCACACAACAGGGAAGCTGGGCATCTGCTAAAACTAAGGCAAGTCCTCCCAGCCCCCACACCTGTCTAAAGGAATGAGGAAACCACAATCCCAGTCCCTGCTTGAGGCCCCCAATGGACACAGGGCTGGATTTATGACATATGTAAAGTAAATGCCAGAAAGACACTCACAAAACTTGATGTTTTGGCAATAAAGATGCCAAGGAAGCCCCTCCCCATGCTGGCGCATTTTCTGCTCTTGGGCAGCTGTGTCTGGCCACGAACCTCACAGTCTGCACAGCAAGCAAGTCATTGCCTGCAAACCCTCTGTGCGATTTACTTGACTTGAACCTAAGATTCCCGGATGTGCAATGTGAGTGCAAAGGCTCCTCGCTGCCCGCCCCTTTCCACCCATCACCAGGTTCTTAAAGAGCTGCAGCCAAGAGGCTGAGGAGGGATTAATTTCTCACCCAAATGCAGTGAGGCTGACAGTCCTTCCACACAGCCCTGGGCGGCCCCAGGGGGCCGCAGCTGTCCAGGTATCCTAAAGGCCACAGCACTTCAAGACATGCACAGGGGTCCCCAGACAGTGACGGAGCTGCCACTTATGGAATTAAGCCACACTTCCTTCTCGTGGCTTCATCTTCAATTCACACCTGGGGTAACAGGACATGGAGCAAGCCCCAGAGAGCAACCCAAAGCTGCTCTCAAGGAGCTTGCACACAGTCTCAGCTGTCCCCACCAGAGGAAGTCAATCTGAGTCCCCCACCAGAGGAAGACAATCATGCAGGGGTGGTGACAAGTAGGGAGAAAGGAAAATGGAAATTTTTCACTCGCAAGGGCAGGGCTGGGGTTCCCTCCAGGAGGGTGGGGGACTCACAGAGGAAGCAAGCTCTTGGCGGGGCTGCCAGCTACATGCATTCGGCTGTGGAACTCATGCTTGTGTTATAATGTACTCTGTGTGATTCAAACATAGTGTGAGATGTAAGTAAACAAAAGCAGCAAAATAAAACAAGTCTCCTTCTCACTCCCCACGTTGAGAAGTCAGGCTGGACTGGTAACTGACAGTGGGACAAGTCACCCTCAGAACCTCTCACCTGACCAGAGCTAAGCATGTCACTAACAAGAGCCTGAGCAGCCACCTCTGGTCTGGAATTGCAGGGACAGAAGCCAGGTCTGAGGGGGTGGGTTCTCCTGCAGGTGGAAGTGTCCTGATACTCCTGGGCCTGGCTCTGCAGCCACGCCAGGTGGGGGCTGAGGGTCAGGCAGGCACCAGGGCACAATCCAGAGGCCCAGCACTAAGCCCACACTGGCCTGCTTGCTGCGTCTAGCCCTGACCCTGCAAGCCTGGCCACCTGGCTCCTAGGAGAGGCGACAGCTAAGGGACACAACAAGACCCCATGAGGGCTGGTCACCCAGGGGTCACTTCAACAGGGCAGAAAGGCTGGCCCCCTCCTGGAGGGTCTGAAAATATTCACATGGAGGCTTCAAAAAGACAGAAATTACACTACACTTGCTCTGTCATGAGCAATAGGTGATCAAGTAAAATCACTTTGTTCAACATCCATTTCTTGTAACATTGATGAGAGGAAAAAATCTAGCCGATGCTGAACGCCACTTAAACACCCAGTTTCCAAGAAGCTATTGACGATGCTAAGTGAGAAGATGGGTAAAGAAAAGCCCCTCTTCTGCAGTCGGGGCCCTGGCACCCCTCATGGGCTTCCACATCCATTTCTGCCTCACACTGCCCTGCTGTGTCAAGCATCTTGTGTTAGATGTGGCGTAGGTGATGGATCTGAACATGAAACTTGGAGTTAAATCTGTTGCATTTCCTTGCATCCTTGGCATCTCTGTTACCATATAAAGTGATTACTGTAGTGCAGTGGGGCTGTGTCCTCTCTGGCCTCACAGATAAAACACCAGCACCTCAGCTTCCTTGACCATGGTTGTCCCCCAGGAGCAGGGGCACCTTATCTACTGCGCCATTTTCCCAGGTAGACACAATTTAGGGATCTTTACTTTTACTGTTATACCCATTACTGTCATTTCATATAGCATAATTATTTCTGTGTTTTGAATGGCCTCCTCAAAATAAATCCCAGAAATAGGGTCATTGCGTGAATATTTTTATACTTCAAGACAAGCCTACAAGGGACTCGTTTAGGCCACACAGAGAAACAGGCTGACCACCCCACCACTGGGCCAAGAGAATGCTGTTCCAGAGTGATCAAAAAGGAGGCAACCGGGGCCTCTGTGGTGGCACAGGGGTTAAAGACAGCGCTATCAAGCTATTACCAGCCACTCAACATGAGTTCGATCCCCAGTCAGGGAGCTACCCACATGGCGCAGCAGACCTCTCCTGTCTCACCCACTGTTCCCCTCAGCAGTGTATTTCAGTGGATCTGCCTGTTTTGCTCCCCACTCTGTCTCTGGTGAATCCTCTCACCCCCTGCACCTCTGGCCTACACCCAGTTCTTGTATGCATAAATAAATATAATAAATCTTTTTTTTTTTTTTTTAAAGGAGGCAACCAAGGAAGATGGGAAGGAATCCTGCATCTCCCAGGCCACCCTCCCTTTTTTATAAACGTACTTCACATTTTTCTATGGTCCTTTCAGGGAAGCAGAGAGAACTGACATGGTCAGCGGGGTTGGGCTCCAAGCTCATCACCAACACAAGCAGTCCCTGCCAGCTGTGCCACTGCCTCAGGCCTGGCACTGGACACAGAGTTCTGCACAGCCACCCATGCCAGAACCAGCTATCTGAGACTGATCCCCACTTTGTGAGCAGGGTGGGCCCCTGGGGACCTTCAGGTCTCTGCATGTGGCAATGTAGGTGCCTCAGAGCCGGGAAGGCCTCCTGGACAGAACCTGGCTTGGGACAGAACCTGGAAGCAGAATGGGCTCAGTCATCTAAGAAATACCAACTGGGTGTGTTCAACTGAGACACTAGAAAAAAATTAACGTTGACAGCCTCTTCCCTCCAAAATAAGGGTCTCACAGACAGGCCAAAGTTATATTTCATAAAGCCATTACATAACAGACTGTAACAAAAGTCACTGATTGCAACTACTATCTTCAAGAAGCAGAAAGGCAGGCAGCAGCCAAGACTCAGACAGCCAAGCTGAGCAGAGCAGGGAGCATCACGAAAAGCTCACAGTCCTGACGCTGCTCCGGGGAGCCAGAGGGCACGGAGGAGGCTCCAGGGGACACTAGGCAGGGCATACCTTCCTGCTGAACCTCTGGAGCCCAGAGCCCACCTGGGAGCAGCCTGGAACCAGTCCAGACCCCTGCTTGTGTTCAGTGAGGGTCTTTCCTGTCTTGGCAAGGCAAGAAGGGGCAGCAAAGACCTGGCGATCAAAACGCTCCGTGTGGCCATCACTACCCAGCTCCAGTGCCCAGGACCCACACAGAGGGACAAGACTATGCGCCACGGGCTCTGGGTCACTGGACGATGGGTGAAGTGAGTGACAGGCTTTGTGGCCAGAAAGGTCTAACCACGTCCTCTGTGGCAATCCCGGGGCTCCCTGACCCCCCTTCTCCCAACAGATGCCACAGCACCGCCCCCTGGGGATACAGAGGTTTCTCCTATCCTTTCAAAAACACTGTGCACACACAAGCGCGGAGCTATATTACACCCCTACTTCTTTTGTCCCCTCTTCCCCAGCCCAAGATCCCATGCAGAGGCAGCCCAGCCCCCATTCCGGGCCCATATGGAGACGGGGGCCTGGTTCTCCCAGCCCAAGTCCCCCAGACCCTGGTGACACAGGGCTCACCCTGTCCCTACCCCCCTCTGCAGCTTAGGTGATTCGGGACACCTCTACTTCCTTTAAAAACATTTTGCGGGCCTCCCCTGGTGGCGCAGTGGTTGAGCGCTGGGCTTCGAAGCTGCCCGCGGCCTCTGCAGCGCTGGTTCGATCCCCGGCCACCAGCGAGGGTCCCACATGGCGCGCAGACCTCTCCTGCCGCCCGCTGCTTCCCTCAGCAGTGTACTTTGTCACTCTGCCTGTTCTGCTCTCCGCTCTGGCTCTGGTGGATTCTCTCACCCTCCTGCGCTTCTGACTGTACCCAGAATAAAATAAAATAAATAAATAATAAATAAATAAATAAATAAATAAATCTTTAAAAAAAAATAATAAAAACATTTTGCCTAAGGACACTCCCTCAATGACATCAGAGCATCCTCATCCCTTTTTACTTCTTTATTAACGCATGCCCTTCCACTGATTAGATGCATCAACCTCTTCCCAGTCTCCTACTGAGGTACATTTGGGTGGCTTTCAATCTTTTGCTAAAATAAACAGAGCTGGCCTCCCGGTGGCGCAGCGGGTTGACCGCTGCGCTGTGAAGCTGTCCACAGCCTCTGCAGTGCAGGTTCGATCCCCGGGCGGCCTGGGAACTACCCACATGGCGCAGCAGACCTCTCCTGTCGCGCCCACTGCTCCCCTCAGCAGTGTCTTCAGTCCCTCTGCCTGGTCTGCTCCCTGCTCTGTCTCTGGTGAATTCTCTCACTCTCCCACATCTCTGGCCTGTACCCAGTTCTTGTATAAATAAA